AACCAGAAGCTTTTCATTAACTGAAAAATATTCTGACAGGCAGGATTAATTGAGCGGCAAAAACCAAAACTTTTGAAGCATAACAGAGAATGTTCAAGCTGTAACAGAACTCTTTCATAACGACTTTGTTATAACTAAGCGTGAATGGATATATGACGGCAAAATAATTTAATCAGGATTGGAGTAAATGAAGGCCATCTCTGAGACATGCATAATAATGTAACAAAGGGACTCTTCCATCAGAAGATGCTTTTAACACGATGTTTTGTAACTGATGCCCTGGGGCCTGTTACGATTGAATGATTTAAAAGCCAGGCTTTTCTTCTCATTAGATTAATTTATGTTTTCAGCTCTCTTATACTGGCCCTGTGCATGTATTCTCTGTGTTTAATTGGCTCCTCTTGACAGAGATATCACATTGGCAGCAGGTTATCATTGCACAAGAAAGAGATAAGGATCTGGTGTGTCAGTTGGCTTTGCAGAGTGAGGTGAACTTTCAGGTACTAAATTTGCTTTGCAATGCCTCATTTAAGTGAGCCTCACGTCTGTTTTGTTTGTCTTACAGCATATCGTGAACTTTCTACTCACTGTTTTAGAGACCAGCGCCAAAGAGAAATACAAGTCCTGATTATGTTTGGTCATAGCAGTGGAACGAAAATATAGCCCCGCTAGAAATTCAGGTATTTCTCCTGTGTGATTTACTTACAGGGTAAACCTATCTTTAGTAACAACGGTTAAAAGAGGACAAAAAGGCTTAAGAAAAGTAAGACCAAGGCTTTACTTGGTGTAAAACATGTTTATTTCCTACAAAAGCCTAAAAATATCCAAGACAAGCCAGGAATATGAGTAGCTAAATAACTGTGTAAAATTGTCACCAATACTTATGTAAATTAAAGGTTGATAAACTTAATCAGAAGATCTATACATTTAAGAATCTGGCTGTATAGCCTAAGTAAAATGTTTCATTTGCATTTCTCCAGAAATGCAAAGTTATATTATTTTTAATATAAGGGAATGCTTTAGAAATAAAAACTCAACCACCATGTTTCAAACAATTATCTTTTTGTTTTTGCACTTGTTTTTTCCCAAGTACGCCAATACTTGGGGAGAAAAACAAGTACCGGGTTATTTGGTAATAGAGAAATACGGCTTATACTCCAAGAAGAAACATAACTTAAGGCACAATTTAATATGCATAGAGCATTTGTTTCTTTACCATGACTTAAAAAATTAAACCGAGAAAATTGACTACATTTACAATTAGTGGCCATTTTGTGACCATTGAAATATGTTTTTCCTAACATATAATGTTATTTGTGTGAGAGAGATGACTGCTAAATAGGATGACCTCTTATAACGTGTCAAAGATACAAAATAGCTTTTTATAGCAGAGAATCTGTAAGAACAAACACTGTAGAGAAGAGCTAATTCAGTAGAACCATTTGCGGAGCATTGTCATGGTTTGTTTTCTTTTTACTTTTATATGTTAGTTCACCCTTATGTTTACATTTTTGACAGGATTTTTTTTGCCTATTTCTCTTGCTTATTTTTAGACTTGCACCGGTCAATCGGCAGTGCTCAGAAATCAGCATACATTCACGTGATCGGCCACGTTCGCTGACTGGCCCAATTATTATGAAGACCACCGATTTTAATCACCGGTCATTGTGTTGTTGAGTTTTTCTCTGGGCAGCTTGCTAGCAAGGGTAACTGGCCAGGAGTCGGACAGCAGTACATTGGCAGAAGCCAGCGAGGGGGAATTAGCAACGAGAGGCTATGGCTAGCCAAGGCTAACCTCTAGAAGCTGACTGCAGGAGATGGAGGTAGGACCACATAACAGTCCTTCTAAGGCGAAATTAAAACTTTTTTTTTTAAAAGCCACCTATTAAACTCTTAAGATCATTGTCGTTTCATCCTTTGTTAACATTATTTTCTCTATCAGTATTTTGATTAAAAATGTTAATTTCTGCAGCCTCCTACACTAAAACAGTCGTCAATTTATGATACTTTCTCATCTCCTATAATTTTGATACCTAATAATACAATGTCGATGAACATAAGACAGCAGTTGAAGCATTTATGGATTTGATGCTGTGATCGGGGATCGGGGCTAGGCTCCCAAAATCCTGATCTGACAACAAATGTACAATACTACCTCACTGTGCTTGCGCGTAGTATGTTACTATGTGACCCACCCACAACCCTGTCTATTTATTAATATTCAATGAAATGTATGACTTTGAACACCACGACCTCCCTCATAGCAAATCCACACTTTGGACATTAATTTAAACATAAACAGATACTTCCTAATGTGAGTTCCTAACACGTCACCTGTTATTATTAGACATGTATATTCCTTATTTGTCCTGTTACCTCTTTATATTTTATCTTTTCAATCTTTTTTATATGTTTAATACTAGTTATATTCTTGTTAAATTTCTTTACGTACAATAATTCCAATGTGTCTGGACTGTGGTCTGTCACAAATAGCTAATAAAAATGTTGAGATAGGTTCCCAAACATTCCTCTCTTAGTCAGAGCTTTCAGTGATTAGAGGACTCACTTCACCTGTGTTTCCCTTATTACCTGCACCTGTGTTATCCTCTATTTTAGTTGCCATTCCCCCCTTGTTTTGCTGGCTAATCTGCTTTATTCCCATGTTACAGACAGCTTTTTAGGTACTTCATTATTGTTTGCCTGCCTGCTCAACCCCCTGCCCTAAGTACCTTTTGTTAATAAATCTCAAAAATCTTTATAATGCTGCTCCATTCTGGTTTTCTGCACATTAGTCCACAAACCCACAACCACACCCTGACAAGCACACCTACAACAAACAACTACTTCAAACTGATGTTCATCCCCTTGGATAACAGGGTGGATTTCTAACAGCTTAATGTTCAAAGGAACTCTGAACACATGCAAGTAAGCAACTACTATCATTTCTTTTTGAGACATCTTTGTGAAAGTAAAACTGAATACAGGAATCCAAGGGGCTGAAAAGGAAGCTAGAACCAGCTTCACAATGATGTACCAGCATTAAAAATATACATTTCAAAGGTCCATTCAGACCGAGTACAGTGTCAAAGGCGAGGGAGGAGGATTTACATAGTACTTCTATGCAAAATAGGGTAACGGCACGTCCAAACTGAAGTAATTACTAAATATTAAACAATATTTCCAGCCACTAAATAAGGTAAACATGTCTACCTTTATATTCAATACAAGCAAAGGGATGTCATGTTATGCAATAACTTTATATCAGGAAATGAGCGCAACGTCTGCTGCGATGGCGACATCATCGGCCGTAATTAAAAATTATTTTATCATAAAAAACAATAAGCACAAATGACAGTTTTATCTGCACAAACCTGCACTAAGGTAGCAATAACCATTCAGTCTATTTGCTGAGTTTTTTCACGTGGGTAGGGTGTCAGCATGACACAGCTGAAGCTCCTCTTATTTGATGACATGTTCCTGGGTGTGAACACTGCATTTGAAATGCAGAGTGGTGAACTTGCTGTGGTGCTCTCAGAAATCACTGAATGCCCCTTCAGACAGTGATGTATGTCAGGTTAAAACCCAAACTGCAATGCAGTGACTAGCAAATCCCACCGGCTCGTACCCCGGCTGGTTACTAACTTATAAAGAAGAGATTATATAAATGAAAGGTTCAAACTTATCTCTAAATCTGCTATTACACATAATTTCTTACCTTGCTGTGCATCAGTGCACTGCAGAGGAAAGCACTTGGGTTGAATTTGTATTGTGATTTTGCACATGAGAGGTATTTTCTATGTAGAGTGTAAGGTGCAGTGTTTAAGTGATGTGTATCTATTGACCTGTCCAACACCGTTTAAGTTTGGATTAAGATCAGATTGTGAATGTAAGTGTGAAATGGGTAGGAGGGTAATGCCACTGCATAAGTACTGAAACACAATTTAAACACATTTGTCTGATAGGATGGGCTAGAGAAGTCTCCTCTGCTCACAAAGAAAAAATGTTTCATTTCATTATATCTTTTCGATGTATATATAATGAAACAAATAATAATAATCAACTATAAAAAATAATAAAAAAAATAGTTGACAATGTCAGACAGGCAGGCATACCGCATTTATACAGTAATCATCTTGCTGACTGCTTCTCATTTTCTGCCTTATAAACTAGTCATCTCATACTTCAACCTTTCTCTTGCTTTTATCTGCCTTTCCAGCAGCCCTTCTCTCCTTAAAACTCTGCCGATCTCGCTTTTTCTGCCTCGTTACCCTGCCATTTCTGTCAAAACCTTCCCACGCTCTCTTCTCTACACTTCTGGCACTCTCACCTCTTCTCATCCTTATTGAGGTCCATGCCTCTCTAATCTTTGTTCCTGCCAGACAGCATATTCTGGGTTATATATAAGTCAACAAAAGGCCATCTAAAGGTCAAGTAGTTTAAATGTGGGATAGATTTATCTACCGGAAGATCTACAAGCTATTCAAAATCCTGATCGTGATTGCATGCTTATGAAAGAAAGACAGATAAAGAAAATAGAGAGAAGGTGAAACTACCGACACATGAAGCTTGAATGATTGATAAGCTTGAGTTAAAGACAAGCACTCCATTGTGTCAAGAACTGTGATTAAGAGAGAGGGGAAAAAAGCTCCACTGGTTCCTATCAAACACACACAGGCATACAAGCCCTCTTTCTTTCAGCAAGGTATAAACGTCACCTCTGACAGTTAAAGAGTCAGATATTGCTTCAGTGTGACAGCTCAGGTCTCTACAGGACAGACAGGCAGGAAATTTCACCATACAACTTGTGACTGCCTCAGTTTGCCATAGGTGTCTGTTCCATCCACTGTCAAACGTTCACCTGAAATACGTTATCCTACCTTTTATCTTTTTTCTTCAAATGTAGCTTTAAATTACAGAGAGTAATACAATAAATAATAACACATATCAATACATTTGTGCTGACCTTATGAAACAAATGTAGTGCTAGTGAAGTTATTTACCCATTCCGCTGTGTCTGTTGTTCTCTGCTTCGTCCAATTTGAGGTTTAGGGCCGATTCGCTGTCTGACCTGGAGCTGCTGTCTGAATTCGCCTCTTTATATTGTTGGATGGCCGTTGTGCTGGACTTTTCTGTTGCAGGCTCAACTTGCAGAGAGCTTTCGGCTGTGCTACTGGTGCTGCAGCGGGAACCAGCCTGGTCGAGGTCGACATCTGAGTCATCAAGGCTGCGGCTGAGCTCAGAGCTGGAGTCCTGCACAGCCAGGCTGTCTGAGGTGCTGCTGCTCGGGGTTGGAGAACTGGAAGATGGAGAGGTCAGGGGTGGAGTGGCGTCGCGCACAGGTGGAGGCTTAGGTGCTGTTTTACCAGGAGGTGCTTCTGCTGCCTGTATGATCACAGAGGCATCAGAGAACTTGGGGGGTGGCGGCGTCTTGGTGCGGGGAACTGGGGTAGGAATTACACTGCCCTGAGGATTGGAAATGGAAACAGGTGCAGAACTATCATCGGAGTCCTGGGCTAAAGAAGAGGGAGAGGGTGGCGGAGGGGGAGCCTTTCGCTTCCTTTGGCCTTCTGAACCGGGAACCTCCTGACAGAAAGTAAAAGAAGGAAGGTTGTAGAAGTTATATTATGCTAAATCTATCTACGTACAATGCCTCACAATAAACATAAATCAACAACATTATGGGATTTTATATCATACAAAATAGAAGTACATAACTGTAAGGTACAACGAAAATCATACAAAGTGGACTGTGCATTATATTTTGATCAGGTTTGCAAACCTGAAGACATAAAAATTTGCATTTCTTGCAGAGGAGGTCAAAGTCAGATTGGACAGAGAGCATCTAAAAATCATTCATGTTAAAGATTCACATATATAAAATTGAATAAGTCATGTTTTGTCATTGTAACTGAAACATGTGGACAGATCTCTAAGAGATATGAATGCTTTCTGCAAGTCACCGTATGCATGTCTGGTTTAAGCATAGATTATTCAGTATAATTGAATCTGTCAGGACTAAAACAAGCTAACAGCAAAGTAATCAAATTGAGTGGAATGCTGGCAGAGGTCTGAGACTTCAAACCATTAGAGTGGCAACTTTCCTTTTTTTAACTGAAAACATCTAAGGTCTCCAAACAATTCATTTAACCTGATCTTGTGGTATTGTGAGAGAGTAGCAGTCTGTGCTTTTTACAGGGATATTTCTTGGGTTCTATCTTAGAAAAAACATCAATAGAGAAAAACACACACTGCCTGTATAAATCACCAATAAACGGGTATCATCCTAAAAGAAAATGCCACAAAGTTTATAGATGGATGGATGGATGTAAGGACGGATCATGTGTTTTGTCTTACAGCAAGTAGAAAATTCTGTTAAACTAAAAAGTTCTAAATTATCTCTTTTTTTGTACTCTGATGAAGCTGCTCTTTAAAAGTGCGTCTCCCTCTCTTTATGAGACCACTGCCTGAAGATTTTGGATTGTTGTGGTAAGATAAGCTTAAAAACTATAAAAACTTCCAAATAGCACTTGCCTTCTATTTCTGCTCTCTCAGAAATTCAGCAGAGAACATGCCCAGAGTTGCATATAGGGTTGCATCATTCAACAGGGCAGAAAAGAGATCAGGCCAACTTGTCTTTCTGCAGGTGCAGAGGGTTCACACACAAACTCAGTGAACCCAATGCATGGCATTCTATAGAAAGCCATACCCCCCCCCCCACCACACTAACACACTCCACGTCGTTTTCCTCACAGCTCTACTGCCTCACTTCCAACCCACCATTCATATATACATGAATACAAACACAGCCGTGGAAATGGGCCAAAGTTGAGCTGCAATGGATGATTGACTTGCCTTGGAAGATGGATGCCTATGTGTAAGAAGGCTCACGTTGTGTGTGTGTGTGTGGACATGGATATATTTCTATATGTATATGGGAATGTGAGTTTGTTTTCCCTGCAGAGTAAAACTGCAGTGAACCCTGTGCTATGAAAAGAAGACTGCAGAGGCTTTAACTGACCAGCAGATGCATACCCACTCTCATTATAATCGCAATGGCTTGAACTGCACAGTATAGATAGGATTGTTGGGTCTGTTAAATCTGTATTGCTCTCTTGAGCTTATGGCGCCATGACTGGGATTGCAGCATGCACTTATGAGGAAGGAACTGAAGATAAGGCTTCAAGCTATATTAAGCCACATTCAAAGCAATCTATACCCTCAAAAGAACTAGCTATCAGTTCTAAGTCCTTTTTATGTGCTTTAGTTGGGTAGGTCACAGTTTAGAGAGATACGTACATTAAACTGTATATACCACAAAGCTGTTCTGTTTAGTTTCATTCAAGAGACTTGTTTTCAATGATAATGCAGAACTCACAACTTCAAAGAGAAAAAAAAACATTGACAGAAAAACTGCAACTGCTATAAATAGAAGTCTCTATATCAATGTGAATGAGAGAAAATATATTCAATATAATCTTTGTAAAAAGATAAAAACTCCAGCCCTCTAAATCCCAAAGGTTACAAAAAAGGAAATAAGAGGCATTGTTTTTTTTCACTTCTAACTTAAAAAACTAAAGGGAAAGTGTTCAGCTCTAAGCAAGACTCTAAAGTCTTACCAAAGTATACATTCTGCATTTACTTGATATGATTTTTTGTTTTGTTTTTTTGCAGTAAAGTGACACACACAAACCTAAATGTGAAATGTGAGTGAAATACCAACATAAAACCACATAAATAGGTTAGGTGGAAGAAAACAATGAGCAAGTTTTCCTACCAAATCATCATGCTTGGTGGGTATTATTCATTAACAACTCTGTAGAAAAAAATGGATTGTAACTTTAGCTTTCAATTTAAGGTTGCTGTCTGGAGGATGAAGGGCAAACTCTACCCTATTCTAAAGTTTCCAACTTTCCCTCAATGCTAATTAATCTCCTGTCCCCTTTTAGGAAAAAAAAGGACCCCACTAAATGATGTTGCCACCACTGGGTTTCATTGTGCAGATGCTGTTTTTGGGAAGGTGCGTACTTCTACTTTACACATTTGATGGTGCCTTTTATCAATTAATCCTCTATAACAATCCTCACACACAGGTGGTCTCTTCTGGATAATTCAATGATCCCTGATGATAAACTTAAAAATATTCACAGTTCAGACGTCTCATTTTTAATAGCAAAAAGCAAACAAACAACTAAGATGTATTCCTTTCCTTTCACAAACCAGTGCACTAGTCGGTGTTTATGTATCACACAACACCCCTAAATTACTTTAAAGTCTGTTGTTATAAAAGTGGAATGTAAGAAATTTCAGTGGTAAGGCTACTTTTACAAGCCACTGTAGATGTAACAGGACTCCTGCAAACTAATCAAAGCTTCTTAGGTCAGTAAAATAGAAATAGAAAGAAAACGTAAAAAAAAAAACAATAAAATAAAGTGAACTAGTGTCTGCTGGTATGTCTTTTTGATTTTTTTTCACTTTGTAGTAGTCTAAGGGCTCCCTCTTTGAACAAACAAACCTGGGCGAGTTACCATTCAACAGTTGCAGATAAGGGTCTTTTTTTAAGAGAGAGACATTACAGCACTAATGAGGAATGTGAGTATGCCAAACACGAAGGACTCCAATGTAATAAACACCCTCCAAGCAGCAGGCTAGAGGACAGCTGCCATGTGCTTTTGTGTCACTGTTATGATAAAGATGTAGGGGTGTGAATGTAGGATGAAAAGAGGTTTCATGTGAAGGTTTTAACAATGTGTGCCAGTAAGGGGTGAGGGTAGGGTTAAAGGGTGAAGAAATGGATCAGGCGACACATAGCTGACCCAGTTTCATTGTTGTCCAACTTGTTCTACTGACTTCCTAATATTCAAAGTTTTCCTTACCGCTTTCCTTTCTTCAACAGGTGAAATAATACGTTTTAAAGACTGTATAAAAAACATAGCAGGGAGGAAATTAGGCCAATAGGTAATCTTAATGCAACCAAAACATGAGCTATAGTCAGTAACAACCCATCTAACCAAAAAGTATATTGGTTAACTACTGTAGTTACCTGGTTAGCTGCTTTGAAACCGACATGAACATTCATGTGTATTCATTTGTCTAATCTGCCCTAGCTGATTTTATACAATCGTTTTTGAACAGTCCAAACAGAGCTTGTCCTGCAAAGGAGGGGCCAGGTTCCCCTAATCCTGGCCCCTTCCCTGCCTCTCACAACCGTCAAGGACTATGCACAAGCAGAGAAAGCTCACAGTATTTTCTCTTAATGAACGCTGGACCTCTTTTTCTATCACATTACAGACTTCAGCTTCAAACTAACCCATAATAAGAGGATTTAGGTTTGGTTGATGGTTTCACAAAGTACAATGCTGTACGTAAGTCTGGACACAACTAATAAGACAAAACTAAAATTTACCCACCATAAATATGTCATATCACAAAATTTTTATATATTTTGAATTGTAGACTTTCTGAAAGGCTGCGTTTTGAGGTGGAATGCAGCTAACTTTTTGTCTTTGTTACAAAACTACGTTTGTCCTGATTGTGGGAAGTATGTGTGCTTGACTAGAGGTGGAACTTTCATAAGGAAGACATGAGATAATTTTCTGGTACAACATTATGTTTCATAGGTTAATTCAAACAATCCGAAATTGTAATGCAACATCGTGTTTTGAGCGGCTAAAAAGCACCTGCAAAACTGGGGTGTAACCCGCCTTAAGCTCATAGACTGCCAAAGATTGGCACCGGCCACACCGCAACTCTGACAGGATTAGCAGGAGAAGACAGATGGCTGCATGAAAGTTTGTTGTTGTACTGTGACAAAATGTGAAAAACTTAAAAGAGATATGACCATTTACACATTGAAGTGGGTATAATGTACGTCTGTACACAGAGAAAACGAGAAAATGTGAAGAATCCTACAGGAGAATGTGACATGCAGTTTGATCTGTGGGAGCAAAAAGCCTGCTGTTTTCAGCTGTAGCACTATCCAACCAAAACAAGAGTTACAGAATAGAGACAGATACAGACAGGATCACACAAAGAGAGTGCTGCCTGTAGGTTTTGGCACCGCTGAACGTCTTTTTCTAGCACATCCAACTGCTTTGGAAAAAAAATGTTTTGTTTCCAAAACATTTTTGGGGTGATACTATAGCCAGAGGGCAGGTGGATAAACATCCACTCTTCATGCTTTATGACTAAATCTAAAAAGAGTTTCTTTCATTAACTGTGTATAATGACATTGTTTTCATATTTCATTGTATCAGTCTAAATGACATTGAAAGAGACCAACAAGATACACTGTAAGGCTTGAACAACCATAAATTTAATAGAATATTTATCTTTATAACAAAAGATCTAAAAACATCTCTATATTGTTACACTAGCAGGAATCAAAAGTATTTCCTGTTAGTTCATCTATACACTTTATAATCAAAATACGATTGAGATTCTCTGTGCTACTTCGTGCAGCTCTATGCTTCACACTGAAGACTTGAGTTATAATGAGACAGAATGTGATAAATGTGCAACGAGTATAAATACAATTGCTAGACACTATATTTCCAGTCCAAATAGTGCAGAGGACAAATGATCCCATTTCATCCACACCATCCATAAATTCCTCTACTGAGCAAACTGAGAAGCAACTGAAAAACAAATTCCCACAGCTGACATGCCACAACCACGACTGCCAGTCCAATGTGCAACTTTTAAGGCTCATGTAACGGGATATATCATTGGATATGGCTGCGTTTCAGAGTCTGCACACTGACTACAGCACAGAAAGCAGACCTGCACACAGATAAATACTTTCTAACATCAGAGCTCTCCTGATTATTCTGGCAGGTGAATTAATGGACACTGGATCATCTAATGAAATTTTTTAATTAATAAGATACGATGTAGAACAAAATAAAACACCAAAAACAAAAAGAAATGCATGTGAAGGTGTGTAAAATGAAACTGTTCATTTGTTTATGTAATTCTGTGGTGTACTTAAGTTCCTCCAAGCTCACAAATCATTAGACGTGTACATTATTGCTTGATGTTGTTTGTTTCAACCATTAAAGTCATGTGTAATGCATGTGTTACATTCAGTTTTTTACCAATAAATGGGGAAAATGGTCCAGTAAAGGTAAACTGTAGATATTAATGTTTTGTAAAGATCAGTTAACAGATTCTTGATTGGTTTCTTTGTTTTTAATTGGAAAAATAGAAGCAACATTATTTCTGTCAAACTTTTCAAACTCTTAAAGTCTACCTTAAGAGCCTTTTTGAATCCTTGATGTGAGCTAAAATAGCTTTCATTATAAATTTCCTAAGTCCCTTCATGTAACTACAGCCAAAAGGCTCTGCACTGTAGCTGTATGGATCCAACGCTGAGGTGAATTTTACGAACACAGCAGTGAGTTACGTACACAAAAACCTAAAATTAATTTGAAATACAATTTACAGACAGAGCAAAACATAATCAAAGCCCCCTGCTGCTTTTAATACTTCTCTACTCTAGCTCTGTTAAAGCTGTTTATCCTGGTTTGAACCTTTATCCTGCTGTGTCCTCATGTAAGCTGAGAGCAGTGATGCAGGTACTCAACCCCACTGTATTCTGCCTACTATCAGCTCTATTTTTATTTAACTTATGCAAATGGTTATATATTGACGATTTAAGCTTTTGCAATGGGGTGCAGAGAGAATAAATATTGTCTGATATGTCTTCATATTTTAGATAAAATATGAGCAATAAAAACATAGAGGCCTATGTGATGTGTTCTATGTAACAAAACCTCCACTTACTTTAAACTGATAATTTGTTGCAAGGGGTTGCAAATACCTACTTGCCTAAAAATCTTTACTGCACAAGTATCTTTTAATCAAGAATAAAGAGAGCCGATCCCTCCTAAATCTGTTGTTTAGGTTGATGTAGCTGTATCCCCTCTCTGGCCAGCCTACATCATCTTTGCTGTAATGGCTTTTTAAAGCTTTGTTCAAACAATCTCATCATTCCATTGCCTGATTAATGATGTCATCCATTGCTACATCTTGGATGTCAAATTAGTTGACCACATAAGCTTTCTTTGATCAAAGGGGCCCTAGTAACGAGGACGGTCACAATAAACAGCCGTGCTCAGATGGCCCGCTATCATGTTCCTAATATGTGTGTCTCTCAAAGATGTTTGGAAATGTAAGTGTGCAAATGTAAGGTAAAGACAGAGGTTCTTTGATACACCGAGGGTGAATTATGGCATGAGAAAGAACAAATAAAATGAAATGAAAAAAACCCTCATAAGAACTTCTACAGTGTGACACACCCTTAATAAGTGACTTCAACAATTTGACATTTTTACAAGATCAAGAGGGTTCTCCACAGATGGGCCAATTTGTTCAGTCGCCTGAGGCAAAAACATTGCTACATTTGAAGCAAATAAAAAGAGTACAACTTCTCACTGTGCAGCAATGTGATTCATCATGTACAATTGTTTAACAGCATGAAGTAATGCAGAGCTCTTCAACGCCAAAGGCCTTAAGAAACGCTTTTGATCAGACCTAGCTGTCTTCAACAAATCTAAATCCTTTTTCATAACAAGTCTAAAACGTTTACAGGTGAATGGGGAATCCCTTATATTCCAGCTCTGTCCTAAGACATATTCCTGTTGATACACTTTTTCTAACCACTCATCATATCATGTCTCCAAAAATTCCACTGTATACTATTCTAAATCACCCATTTATAAACACACAGAAATGTCAATAGACGGTGAGTTGAGGATAAGACCTGCTGCACCCATTAACAGCTTGTCCCAGATCTGCTTCAACAACACCAGAAATCCCCAGACATGAAACTTGAGATGGAACCTGGAAGGATCTGCATAAATACATATGACATCGTGCAAAGACTGACACTTCCTAATGGTAAGGCAGAGAGATCTATTATTAGACCAGTCATCGGTTATTCAGATAACCTTTCCAACTCCTGCTCTGTTTAGCAGCGTCCCAAAGGTGTCTTTGCAGCTGGGATGTGGTGTCAGTCATAACTCTCAGGCTGACAGGTGCGTGGAAAATTTCAAATCTCTCAAGTCTAATTTACACATCCTAAAATTAGCAAAGCAATAACATTGAGTTTCTTTTTGGAGTGGCAATACATGTTTCTACAGAGTAGGATATCAAAAATGATTTATTTTGTGATGAATAAGATTTAAAAAAAAATCCTTGTTTAGCCCTAGCATGTGGGATTTTCATAGCACCTACCACAGTTTATAGAAGTCCTGGAAAATGATACAATACAGTGATGCACATCAACACATCATGAAATGATTAATGATCTGATTACATCAATACGGAATGAAACCATTGATCCACATCCTCATTTTTAAAGGGGTCATACTCAGGTATTTAATGTATATAATCATTTGGAAACTTTTTCTATATTTAAATTATCCATCCATCCATTTTCTGTCACGCTTATCCCTGCTGGGGTCCAGCTGTCTATGGCAGGAGGCGGGGTCCACCCTGGACAGGTAGCCAGCCCATCGCAGGGCAACACAGAGACAAAACAATCCCACTTTAAAATTGGTAGTTTTGTGAATTAAAGGGGAGTAGTTAATTTACTGCAGTCTAACTTTCTTTGTTTAACTGTTGCAAAGATTTTTTTTTTTTTTTTTTTTTTTTATATGCATAAAACAAGCTGAACACTATGGCGATAGCCGTACTGCTCCTCTTGCGAAAGTAAAATCTGTTGGGCTCTTTTTGGCATCAAGCAATTTATTCTCAATGCCACATTGCCAGACAGGACACTGTTGGAAAAAAAAACTAAATAAATAACTGTTGCAAAGATTTGTCAGACGAGGTTGCAAAAACTACTACAGGTCTACATCCATTATGTTGGATTGACATACAGGGAGATCACACAAGAATGTATTCTTTAGACAGAAACGATAGATTAATAAAACAGTAAAGAATTAAAAGCCCAAAATAAACTCCAGCAAAGAAAAGTCGATTTTTTTAGGTTAAGGCAAATTCCCACCAATAATCAAGCAAGAAAATAAATCAAGTTAAACTGTGAGACAAAAACCACATACAGCGAGACCGTAGAAGAGAGAGAGCTGCTTGTGTTGAAGCTCCTAATAAGCAGCAGCAAACAAGCAGAAGGTCTCCCTCCAAACCCTGCATGGAAAGAGCACCCAAAACAAAACCGCCGTAAGAAAAGTAATAATTTAAACCGAAATGTAACTGTAAAAAACAAGGCCGGTTGAGAACCAAAAGACGGTGAAGGTTCCTTCAAACCTCACAGCTAGAGGCCTGGCATGAAAGGTGCCAGTTTAGAGTCTCCTTTGACTCTCTCCACATAGTAAAAGAGAAGCCTCTCTTGTCCTAATGTCACAACATGCTGAGTTTGAGATACTCTGTATCTGCAAGTCTGCACTGCTAAGATAAGATTTCAGAAGATTTGGATTTTGCAAACAAATATTACAGAATGGTTCTGGTGTGAAGCAGAGGATGAATATGTGAAAATCACACCGGCCAACTGCTAAGTATGGTGGACGACCTGTCATGCCATGGGCCCTTTCCTCCTCTAGAGACCATGTGAGAGACCAAAGTCAATTGTATTTGTTAATAAATCAGATTGACTCTTGAAGAGCAGTAATTGTTGAAAGTACTGTGTATCTGCAGTCATATGAGTTATAAATTAAATGTTAACTCAGAAAATTTACTCTTGCTTATGCGTTTTCAAATGTAGTATTACCTAATGCTATTTCCATTAGGTATTACTACTCAGAAACAACTTCTGCTTCACTGAAGTCTGTTTGTTTGTGCGTTTAATTAAGCCACTGAGAATAGTACAATGTTCCGTGTTAACAAGGGAACAATATTGCTCCTCAGTAACATTCATTAGGAGTACAGGCTCCTCTGAATACACAGAACCCAGTATCAAAGGGAGAGAGGAAGAAAGTTAGGTGGCAAACAAATGTTCAAACCATACTGCAATAATACCACATTATAAGGAAAGCACAAAGATGAAAACCAAATGGCCGAATTAAAATCAGTATGGTTAATGAGCTGTTTTTAAATTGATTATATAAGTTTAATGGATTATGTTGTTCATTTGTTATCTGTTGATTTCTGTCTGTTCTATTTGAACATAAAGGGATCCCAGCCATTCTTTATGTCCAAATAAATTTTTGGTTAGGCAGAAACTTCCAAAAAAAGCATAAACTGTAAAGAAAGTTGGAGGATGGAAGAAAGCTTGAATGGTGATCTGTGCAGCTTCCCAGAATGAGAGAATGCTAGTTTTAGAGAGCTCTTTGTATTCTAACGACCTTAAGAAAAAAAACAGGGTCCTGGTTTCTTTGCTATAAACCAGTGCTCTGATTTGCTGAATAAAAAATGAAATATGTTGGACAGCAACTACATGTATCTACACAGACAGGTGTTCAACAAGTGGGACATCTCATCTCACTAGTGAGTTTCACCTGATTGTTCTTAAAGTTTGGGTTCCTCTGGCTGGATGTTGGGACAACAGGTGGTGCAGGGGCCCGCCTCTTCTTGGACTCTGCTTTGGCATGCATTGTAGAAATATCAGTGAAGGACCGAGACTGCTCCAAGGAGCCAGAAGATCCCTCTACATAGGAGACCCCTGACACGGTGGAAATCCCCTGTGGATAACATGAAGATTGAAAGGAGATAAGTTATAAAATAATAATATAAAGCACACGTGCATATGTGAGATAAACACAATGGCTTTAGGTTCTATGTAATATATTTCTCTAAAATCTAAAATATTGAGCAATATGCATTAAAATTTGGACCTCTGTGAGAAAAAATCTATTGTTTTCACTTTAACATTTTTGAGTTTAACAAACATAATGTTCTCCAGTGATGATTTTATTATAATGAGGTGTGACACATTTTATTCAAACATGTTACCCAAAGAAACATCCTGTCAGTTAATAACTCTCATACTTACTGACATGTCTTGCCCATTGGGAGTATAAACTTGTCTAAATCTGTCTAACCAGGGATCAAAAAACATACAGATTCTCTGAAACATAAAGAGCGCAGCAGTATAAGTTATTATTTGGTTCTTACCAATATCAAAGCATTTATTTGCTCAAGCTGAAAGTGCAAACCTACTTTCAAAGGATGGCTACTCTTGACTGAACGCACTTTAACAAAAAAGGGATGTGTGATCAAAGAGAGGCCTGAGTGCTCTTGAAAATCTGAGCCTCCCTGTGGCTCAGCGAGGAACAGAGCCTTGGCGCAACAGGGGCACCACACAATGATGTGCAGCTCCACGATCCAAGCAGAATATAAAAAAAGCAAATCAACCAAGAGACTCGAATAATGCTTGAATGCAATATAAAAGGACAAGAAAGGACATTTAGCTTTGATCATTTAGCATTAACAATGCCCAAGGTCACAACATACAAAGATCTGGAAAGAAACAACAGCTAAAATATATCAGAAAGTTGCAATAAAAGATTTAAAGGCGCGGAAGAAATGGTTTCCATCTAACGAAGGCCAAGAAGCATAAGTACAAACAAACAAGCTTAGACAACAACCGTAACACACTAGTAGTATTTGTGTTTTGTTACAATAACTAATATAACACATTTTTCAATACGCAAATCCACAAATAAATGTCAACAAAGTCCAAACCAAAACTGCAAGAAGAAAAGGGTAAAATACTAAAATGAAATGCTACAACTCTTGATTGACTGAAGAGTTGCTGTGTCTGTGGTATGATAGGTTCACAGGATGACAGGAATAAGAGAACGGCAGAAGGACGTGTGGCTGGCAGCAAACTGAGGGTGATGGAAACAAAAAAGGGATGCTGGAGGGGAAGCAGACGTGATTTGGATTCCCCCAAAAAAGAACAAGTTTCAAGTAAAAAAAAATAAAAAAAATAATCTTCAAAGGAAGAAATCCACATGAACTCTATCTGACTTCTTCACCTGCTCACTCTCACTCCTTCGACCCAGTTAGAAATATCAAAACTGCAAGTGGATAATATAGATCAAAATGTTCTCTGACACTTAGGAGGGGAATCCAAGTCAGCAATGTTTTTATAATAATGTGAGAAACATAAAAGAGAACCTGGAGAAAATCTGCATAATTATTAGTATCATTCACATCCTGCAGTTTTTAACAGTGCATTTAACTCGGGGGTACAGGTAGAACAGATAAGAAAAATTCAAAATAATGCATTACTTAAAGCATTTGACTGCTTATGGTGACAATAATAGCCTGCTAAACCTGCTGTGATTTAAACTTGGAATACTTTTCATTCTGCAAGTACCTAAAAGTCAGTGTTGTTAAAATTAAAGGATGGAAGGATTTCTCCTCTGGCTGAATCTTTCAAGTCTATTTCAACCAAGATCACTGATTGGGGGGTGGAGGGGTTGTGCAATTTTTTATAGACCTCAGAAATGAATAACTGACAGAATGTTTGAGGGAGGCATATCAAAATCTTCTTTAAAGACCTCGGCGGGGTTGGCAGAGTGCAGAGGGAAAAGAAAGATTTTGCAGTAAAGTTCATACAGAGTTTATGGCATAAGGGGATTTAGAGCTTAAGCATTCTGAAAGGAAATGTATGAATCAGTAATGTATTTCTAAACAAGAATAAGAAACAACTAAGACCTAGTAAAATAGTGAGTTAAGTATTCATCATCAGCTTTTTCCTCGTAATTTCACCTTAAAAACTTAAATGTATTTTATCTCGACCAATACATGATTAGACTTGATTCTGAAGAGGATATGATTATCGGATTACTAAAGATTGTCTGGGCTGCTCAGTGGCGCAGTGGGTAGTACTGCTGTCTTGCAGCAAGAAGGTTCTGGGTTCAATTCCCAGGGGTCTTTCTGCATGGAGTTTGCATGTTCTCCCTGAGCATGTGCGGGTTCTCTCCGGGTACTCTGGCTTCCTCCCACAGTCCAAAAACATGACTGTTAGGTTAATTGGCTTCTCTAAAAAAGTCCCCTTAGGTTTGAGTGTGTGTGTGAATGGTTGTATGTCCTGTGTGTCTGTGTTGCCCTGCGATGGACTGGTGACCTCTCCAGGTTACCCTGGCTCTTAACTGCAGACAGCTGGAGATAGGCACCTGCACCCCTCGCAACACTTGAGATAAGCGTGTAAGAATAATGGATAAATATTGTCCATCTTTGTATTTTTAGACATCAGTATAGTCACACCTATTCTGCCAAGTCCTCATTAAATAGAACACAAAGACATCAAGTGTATGGATCAGTTACATTGCCATCCACTTAAAATGACAAGGTAGCGTTAATCGGACAAGTTATTAGGAGGACTACGATAACTTTGGGGGAACTGTAGACCTCTAGAGCTAGAATTGCACAGTCTACTGACAGTGGCATGAAGAAACCCTTTGGTAAAAGAAAGTATGGTGGGCAAATGGATAGTGGAAGGAGATGTGCTGGTCAAATGAGATGGAAACTGAACAGTATACAAGCAAAGAAAAAGTAACACTGCCCATTAGTGGTGGCGGTATCATGCTGTGGGGTCTTTTTCTTCAGCTAGGCCTGGAAGCTTATGAGATACGAGTTGATGGGACAAACGATGGAGTAAAATGCCAGTCAGTGCAAGAAGTGAACCACAAAGTTTGACAGACATTTGAGACTAAAATTAAGGTTAACATTCTCAGTTGTTGTGTCCTTGATGAGAGGGTGGTGCCTGTGTACAGCAGCCTCACTAAGGTCAGTGTGGCCCAGGGCAGCTGTGGCCTCAAAGTAGCTTGCCACAATCAGTGTGTTAATGTGTGCCAAAATGAGTCGGTGTAGTAAGTGCTTGGAGTCTCCTGACTTGAAAGGTATAATATACTCTATAAGTACAGGGCAATTACCATTTAAATGCCTTCTTGTTAATAATTTATTGGGAAGTTCAAGTTTTACAACAATCAGAGTACAACTCATAAAAGCTTTTTGAACATCTCCACTGAAATTGAGTCACCTTTGACCCCTTTAAACATAATCTTTGTATCTTTTATTAATAGTTGGTATTGGTATAACTGGAACTTTGAAGACGTTTAGACGTGACCTTATATCTTTGGCTTCTTACTTAGGGTAATTGTCGGACTGAGGTGTCAAGTAACAAAGTACAAATATTTGTTTCTGTACTTAGGTACACTTTTTAGGTATCAATACTTTACTCCATTACTTTTATTTCTACTACTGACTTCTACTCATTACATTTTCACACAAGTATCTGTACTTTCTATTCCTTAAATTTTTTAAACAAACGTTACTCGTTACTCTTAGCTTCGGTTTAATGTTTATAAATATTTATTTCATGTCATGTGCGCCATCCAACTCCAGTCGGGCGCGTGGATGACAAGCAGCCCGGGCCACAGGCAGCTACGCTCCATTTCGAGAGAGAGATCATTTGTGGTAGTAGCACTAGACATCTTCCAGGCATGTGAGTAAAACTAGCAGCAGTTCAGCGGATGGGCTGAATGAATGAATGGTAGCCGGCGCGCGGATGACGTCATACACACTTCGCTTTGTTTAAAAAAAAATAGAAATGTAAAAAATATAACCGCGGATGTCTGGGGGACAGTGATTCGCCTACATGTTATGAATGCTGGCGTACCATAAATTATAAATTATGAACAGTTTAGTTTGTGCCTTCAAGTCGTTGCCCATAGGAAGACGTTACTTGGATATAACCTAAGGGAATATCTTCAGAACATCTCCAAATGACACAAAACTCATATGGGTGAGTAGAACATGATGTAATAATGTAAAATCAAGGGCCCAATGTAAAAAAAAAAACGGCGTTCCTCTTTAAGTAACAAATGTGTGTACTTTGGACACCACTGCTGTCGGATGTATTAAAGCAGCATGGGTTACTTCAGGGAAACGTAGAAACTTCACATTTCGTTCTTTCAACTGAACAGTTGAAAAACATAAAATGCTGCTCAGAAATTTTTCTATGGTACACTATTATGTAATATTTTGGGCCCAACATCTGTTATCCTGCTATTTCAAGTCAAAATACTACGAAATACATGGGCTACAGTAAGCTCTGGGTTCATTCATTAGAAAGCATATTTTTGTGTAAGAAGGGTCCAGTAAAAATTATCAAATAGTTTTTTTTATTAATTAACTTCATATTAGTTTCAGTTTGAGCCAGAATTATTGACACAATGATTTTTGAAATGTCAGCACTTTCCAGGACCACACACTCTTCCCCTGACCTACACAGTAGTTTAGTCCTTAATGAACAATTACAGATAAGAGGCTTGGCTTTTAGTGCTAATGTAGCCAAGGTATTGTAATCTGATACCTTCAAGCTGATAACACTGAGTATATGTGTGTATGAGTGAGAAATCTTTGGAGAACAGATGCATGTGTGTGGTCTGATAACATACAGCGGATGAAAAAGCAATCATTTCGGAGGCGAAAGCCGAGCTGTATTATAGCCAGATAATAACAACGATAAGGCTGACAATGAGAACACAAATAAAAACCTTAGCTGCCACAGCCTTAGATACAAGTTGTTGTTCTGATTATATCTTAAAAATCTACATCTGGTAGTTTGTCCATGCACTCTTTTTTCCACGCTTTCTAACAATTTATTGAAAATTTTACTTATAGGATATACAGTATATTCAGAAGAACTAAAACAGTTAAACAACTCAGACAGTGGTCAGTGTTAGTGATATGACAGAAAATAGGAGGGTTGAGTCAAACCAGCAGCTTTTTAACAGAGTGAGACGGTAAAATGAAGAGCAGAGAGCTGGCCAGTGTTTCTCCGCCTAATACGATTGACTCCCTTCTTGATTAAGTTATAGATCTAACAAGCAGAACCCAGCAGCTGAGTGTGAGTGTGTATTACCAAGGCCTGCTTAAAAGCAGGTTCTTAATGTTGAAACCTGAAATAATCCATTGTTAATAAATCTATCAAAGAAGCCTTTTTTATGAGATTTTATGAGCTCAACCTTGACTCTATGATTAGTTGAGGTGCATTAACCTTCCGCTTACTTTTTATTAATAGCAACCTGGTCTACCTGTTGGCAAGACGTTCCATTTTTCCACTTATTATTAAGGGTTTGCTTTTAAAGCAGGGTTCATTATCAGTGGGGATGCCGACAAAATTCAGGGAGAGCTGCTGCCCTCTAGAGAACAAATGGCAAAACAACAACAATACCAAAATAATAGGCATTTATTAAAGCTTTGATGACTAACTTTTTAAAGATCCAGAGCTAAACTAGAATAAAGATGTATTGCAACTCATAACCCTCAAATAAAGGACATTTGAGCCAAAATGTTTTTTAACATGCATTAGTTTTCATTGCATCTTGTATAAATACAGAGTGCAACATTTTTCACTTTAGTAAAGTAAAAAAAAGAATTCTGAATGTTTCAGACATTAATGTATACGTGCTTTTATCCTTACATAATGCTGTTTGCAACATGCTGCAACATCAACTAAAAATGCAGAGTAAATGTCATCCTTTACTGATTAGATTGAAAGTAAAATACATTTTAACTTGCTATACACAAAGGACAAAATGAACCTCATAACCTGAAGTTCTAATAGGTATGCTGCAGCTACCGCCTAAAATCCAGAAGGTTAGATGAGTAATTTAACTGATTCAAGTAGACCTTAAGTCTATATGTGTGGAATAAACATTATGTCATTGATCATTTTATTGCAGATACTTACTTTGGATTTTGTGTCTGAGTTTTGAATTGCATTTTCATCAAAGTCTTCCATGTCCATATAATTTCTGTCACTCTGTAATAGATGAGAAAACACACATGCAGCATTCAAAGACACACACATGCATTTAGTAATTCTCAAAGTATTTTCTCCAGTTGCTTTCTAGAAGTTAGGCAATCTATTTCACAATCCGATCTGATTGTGATACGTTTTAGAAAACAGCCTCAGGCAGTTAACATTAAACAAAACACCAGAGAGAAAATATTTTTTTCTACAATAAAGAAGCAGATACGTTGTGTCTGACTTAAAGTATGATATGACAGAGAGTGTTTTAAGAAATTATTTAATTCACTACATCTTGACAACATGTTTGACATCTTAAATCTTACCTTTGATTTCCTTTTGCTGAATGAGAAGATATTTAACAGTCCTTTCTTTTGTGGTCTTCCCAAACTAGCAGTACTGGAATACATAGGATCTATAAAAATGACAGAGAAAAGTCACAGAAGAGAGTTAGATGCGGTATAAGTTATGAGTCATATCAGAAGGAGATTTGGATTGGGGGGGGTCGAAAGTAATTCTGAAACACTTAGAATCGAAGTGTTTCGGAATTACCTTAACCCCTAATTAATATCTTAGTCTTAGATATTGATTAGGTGAAAAGCATAAAATATGGAGACAAAAAATATATATCTGAATACTTTTTAACTGTTCAATAAAATTGCATTAATTAAATTAATTAATTATTAAATAAATTATGATTAAAAATGCTTTATTTCATCAATTCTGTAACCATTTATCATATATATTTAAGCATAATCTATTTGAAACACCTTTCCTTATTTCCAGCAGAGGGCACCACAGCTTAATCTTTTCCTACCAACTTTGTTGAAGGAGCAATAAGTAATACTGAAGCCTAGAGCTTCAGATAGGAGCACATGAAACCCATAGCCCCCCATGTGCCGTAGGTTGTCAAGTCAAGAGAGATAAAGATGTAGAGCAGCTGAATTTAAGATGCTGAGTGAAGATGATTCAGTCACAGGAAGTTGATGTGCAATTTTTTCTAAAGGAAGCTGAGACTTCTGAGGTGTTAAGGCTATTTGTGGTCCACTTCTCTCTCTGGTTTCCATGTTTGCAGCCTGCTCCTCTTTGCCAGCATAAAGCGGCACTCTGTTTTTGGCAGCCCCGGGAACTCTTATGTATTTGGCTTAGGAACCAGAAAGTGAACATGGGCTACACACTGCACTGGGGTTCCAGATAGTACATCTAGAGTTAAACGGAGAAAAACTGGACAAAGAGTATTGGCTTTTTACAGGGAGTGTTATTTCCATTCTCAGTGACAAATCAGAACAATTTACATTATGGTAAATGCAGCAAATTTCTTACTTATTGCTCCTTTACGTTATGTTCTTCTAAAATATTCTAAAATAATTGTTGTGCAGCACTGATGTGAATTTAACCATTACATAAGCAAATTGAATAGAGTTAATTGCAAGTTATTCAGAAATCAACAGTTTTAATTAGGTTCACACATAAATAAACAAATATTTACCACAGGATTACTACTGGCAGCCCACTAAGCTTGTTAATGGCAATAACCAGACTTTGTTAATGAAGAAGCAGCAGTAGAATATGTTAAATAGCCACTGGGGGTTAGTATAAACAACAGTAGCACTAACGACATGGAGGACTGGTACCTGAGTTGTTCAGGGCAGGGGCAGAAGCCATTTTAGGCTGTAAAACTGAAAAAGATTTACAAACAAACTGAGTCATTAATACATAACCTGCATTACCTGCCTTACCTGGTGAATATGTTGTTCTCTGTGAAAACAAAATGCTTGCAAGCAAACTAAATGATATTGGAGATAACTTAGAAAATTATATATATATACATATATATATATATATATATATGTATATATATATATATATATATATATATATATATATATATATATATATATATATATGTGATTTATTTGCCTTATTGATTTAAAAAGCACCTGCAATACGTTTGAAAAAGTACTTTCCTTGGTTAAATTCAAAAGGGTGAGTTTTTGCAAGTTCAAATGTTGGTCGTTTTTTTTTTTATCCCAGTGGCATCGAAAGTAGTATCCAAGTGCAAAATATTTTCCTTGAAATTGATTGACCTAATTATTTTGATATGGCGACAAACCTAATGCTTACTAGCCCTGACAAACCTGGATGCTGACAATTACATAACTGCACTAGACCATAAACATGACATAATGTTTTGCTTGTATCATTCGATGCCACACCAAAGATTTCCTGCAATAAAAACAGAATCTCTGGCTTTAATTTATGAATACGCAATAAATCATAAAATCTAACCTTGGATTCCAGCTAGTGTGCTGAAGAATTATCTCAGAAGGCAATCCCTATCACATTGGAGGTTATACATCATAGCACTCCCTATTGTAAACAAAGCACCAAATTACATTTAGGTGTAACTGAGTAAAAGGTTTACCTAGAGTCTGGTCATGAACATAGAGCTCCCTGATGCCTAGCTCAGTCAAAGATTTGTCCAGCGGTAACTCGTGGCGACTGATGGCGTCTTTCAGGAGAAGGACATGTGCAGCATCAAAATCACACTTGTCACATATGGCTGGAATCAAAGCCTGGAGCGGGACCAGTGGGTTGACCCGTACCACAGCTTTCTGGTTGCCGTGGTAGTTCACCATCAAACGCACCGTTTTCTGAGACACATAGAAGACAATGACAGAATCAATTAGTTTGTAAATTCTGATGTACTGATCAGATAAAAGCCTTATTAAGCAAAAAATGTGTAAGTCAATGGGCAAATTTAATCACACAGCTGAGCTGCAGGAATTTTTTGAAACAATGAGAGTGGAGATGAATACACAAAAACAGTTGGTTGCACTTCTTTGACAAGAAAATGAGCCAGTTTTTAATGGAGGAATTTCAGCAACACAACAGAGAAACCTTATAGATGTAAAAACCTAAAGGATCCAGCATGTAGTCTACTGGAGCAGTAACTTGCAATGTAGCTGCAAAGTTTGATGATGGTATCCTCTAACATTAAACCTGGCACCCCATCAAGCTGCATCATTGTTTTTTATCTGTTAAAGCAGCATCACCTAAGGCTGAACGATTTTGCCAAAAATTAAAATTGCGAATTTATTTTGATTTTCCTTTGCACTTTTAGATGCCCCTCCGCCAGGCTTTTGGTTTTTAACAGCTTGCTTTAACAGAGTCCATTGGGACAGGACTTTACTGAAACTATTTTTTGAAAAAGTGTTTACTTCTACTTGCATGCATGGATCTGTGTGCTAGCTGCAAGTTTCTCTACCTTCATGTTTGGTGACAAACCTAATTCAAGGGTTTAATCACCACCTAAAGGGCTGAAGGGAGAAATCTAGTGTCTTACTCTTGTTCAATATAGTGTGATTAAAGATCAGTGCCTCTGCAATTTGAAAATTGCGTTTTGTAAAATTGCAATTATATCACAGATGCAATTAATTGCCCATTCCTAGCTTCATCGCATCTTTCTTCCTTCCATTATCTGTACATCACAAACACAAAGTCTCTTTATTACTGACTCACTAACTCTGGCACAGTGTTTAACAAAAAGGAAGGTGATGGAAAAAAAAACTTCTTTTTCTATTAAGATCTGCATACATAGCGCTGAGTACCTTCCATACAAACACATCAAAATCAAATATTTTTGACTAAGGTTATTTTACCTAAGTAGACAATCATCACTGCATACAGCATATACACAGGTTAATTTTACTATTATGAGAAATGACTGGTGAAGTAAAAAATAAATGTTTTTTGTCCTCTTCATGCGACCTTTAATGAAGCGGGTTGAAAACTACACTTCTTGCAGAAAAATAGCTTTTCCTAGTCTGCGGGGGGCCAGTTTCTATCAGCTGGCAATGCTCAATGATGCTTGTATGGAGCAAAGACTGGATCCTGTAGTCTAGTGCAAAAGACAAGATACTGTAGCTGAGATTGTAGAAGTTTCCCTGGTTCCCATTGAAAGGTATTAAAATACACCACAAATAGCAGGTGTCCACCCTGATCCCTGTCCAACTGGATCACGCAGCAGTGGTTGAAGGGAGCCCGATTGGATGAATCATGCTTTTTTTTTTTACATTTAGACAGTCAGGTGCATGTTTCTCATCTGACGAAGTGGCAGAAGCAGTGTGAAATTTTGGGTATTACTCTGACAGATGCCATGTTTGCTGCAGAACATGTGCTGTAACCTCTTTCAACAGGATAATTAACCCTGACAAGGAGCAAACTTTGTTCAAGAATAATCAGAGAGGTACGATGGGCTTTCGTCTCCAAATTACTCAGAACTTAATCGTTTTGAACAAATGTGGGAAATGAGAAGATCAAGCATATTCAAATAGACAGCACAGCTTCCAGGTAGGGCTGGGAGATATTAAAATAAAATATTTTCAGCATAATGGGTGTTTTATAGCAATAAGGATAAAAATTATAATAAAAAAAATAAAATAACTGTAAAGTAGTCTGTCTTATGTAACTGCATGGCTGCGACTGCTTACCAATGCAATCAAAGCCCCACAATCACAAATAACATACACAATTAAATTCAGCTTTTCCGGACACCAGTTATAAAAGGCAGTGTGATTAATATAATTTAATATCTCAAAGTAACTGCATTTAATCATATTATCATTTTTTTTAATGCTCCAAGGGACAAAAATGGTAAAACATAAAAATTATGGCTATTCACTCGGTTTCTGGAGATTTTAATGATAACTGATTCTAATTTATCGTTTAGACAATAAATCAAAATTCTTATCAAACAAAAAATCATCACGATATTGATAAACAAAACGATAAATTTCCACCCCTACTTCAAAGACTTTTAGGAATTGCGTGATGATGCAGTTCAACCAGTAATGTCATGGCTGATTGGTCTATCTCAGCCGAGGGGTGGGTGGGTCTGATTGTCAGAGATGAACAGGTCCAATGGGTGAAGAGATAAAACAAAAAATGACTGACAGCAGTTGCTGCATGAGTACTGGCCTCTGGTCTGAGGCCAGGTAGGGTCAAAGGCAGACAGAGCAGCCAGTGAGCCCTGAGAACAGCAGAGAAATAATGCATGGTAACTAAAGGTAAGGGAGACATTAAATATTCAAGCTGCTGAGGAGAGTTAAGGAGAGGAAGAGAAAAAGGCACAAGGAATTAAACAACTAAGGAGCACAACAAAACATTAAAAATAAAAAAAGCCAAGATGAAATGTGAATCACATATATAGAGGTTCCACTCAGAGAATGCAAAAACAGAAAAAAGATAGTAAAGTGACTCCAAGGTAAAGGCCAACTTCCAAGCAACCATCTTCCTACCTTAGCATGAGCCCTTACAGGTTTCACTGGCCTTGCCTTCTGCCAGTGGTCATTGGTACAAAGTAGACAGGGGACAAATATTACATGGCGCCTTCAGGCAGCAGAAAGCATATAAATACCTTGAGGTATTATTACAAAATGTTAGAAATTTTTAACTAGAATATTTTACTGATTAACTGATAGTCATTCATACCTGACAAAACAAAATGAGATCACTCTATGGTTTTCCTTTGTAGTTATCTTTTACTAGCATCCCTGGTTTATTTATAAGGGAATTGTCTATGGCCACAATGAAGCATACATGTATCTTTTTTTAAACTTATTAATGATGACAATTAATACAGTATGTTTTAAATGACCCCCAAAGTACATGACAACATGGAAAATCCAAATTGACCAGAATCGGGATTCCTGGTATCTTACCTCTGGCGCTTTAGGAGCCGGTCTGCGCGTCACTTTCTCCTCCACCACTTTCTCCTTGATGAGCACACAGGCCACATTGAAGGAGCCAAGCAGGGCGTTGGGTTTGAATCCCAAAGAGTGACCTTCAGGTGAAAGCAGCTCCAAGGTGTGCAGAGATGGATTCAGACGGTGGCGACCGCATAGGTCGACCAGTAGATCCATCAGAGCTTTACTGGGAGATGAGAAAAGAAAAAGGAGTGAAAGCGTGTGGGTATATCGGTGGGTGTGTGTGCGGACAGAATATTGGGTTACAAATCCTTCCTAGCTTCGGCTGCACAACAAAGACAGGATCCTCTCTGATACTTTAAAAGCAAGCATAATATACGTTCGTGTTTTTTAATCTGCAGTAACTTTTGCCTCTCTATTTGAAAATATATGATGTGAATGGAGTCCGTAGATAAAAACTGAAGAATATTATTCTAAAAAACAAATAATTACAAAAACTTCAACCATTACATATTTTCTTTTCCTTTTAAACAATATTTAAATGCTTTAGTAGGACTTGTCAATAATTCAGATACCCCTTTTACTATTTAGTCAGCAAAGTTCATCTTTAACATATTCTAGCAACGGGAGTTTAACCAAGAGTAGACAACATTAAAAAAAGATCTGAATATGTCCTTTGCTTTGTGACTCAGTTGGAGAGAGCAGGTGATGATTAGGTCAATAGCACCGCTTGTCAATCTTCAGGTAAAGAAAGAAATGCTCTCCTGTGTTTTGCTGGGACAGCCAGATCAGATGACACATCTGAGACAGGAAACAGGACAAGAAACTTCAATGACACTTCAGAGAAAATCTCTTTCTCTATAGAAAGTGTATTCCATAATTAAGGGTGTAATTAAATCTGGAGGCATGAGATGTCATGATATTAAAACGCTATGGTGCATCTCAGCACAGTAAAGTCTGCTTTGAGAAGCTCTGTCCAGAAACCCATTCTGTCTGCGCTTCATGCCTGGGGCTGCCACCTGCCTGAGATGGAGTGGTGTCACTAGCTAGCTGTGAACACTGTGCTCGTCTCTCCCTCTAAACTCGTCGGTGCAAGCTAGTGCACCAAGCTAGCCTGTCAGAGGTGAATCCGCTCATAGAGGTAGCCAACCCTCCACCACCGGAGCTCACAGTGTAGAAGAACTGACCGGGAGGAAAATGAGGCCGCACTTCCAGAACTTTCTGACCCTGCAGGTGCATAATCTGACTCGGAGGTGGACTACGAGCAGGATTGCGAGCCTTTTAATCCCGGTTCTATGAAATATGAGTGAGTGATGCAAGGTTCTTATGCTGGGAGGAAGTCCCCCTACAATAGGAGACATCACTTCTGCTGGTGTAGGACTGGCATAATGTAATAGAGCTTCTGAAGATAGAGCTGGGTTCGTGTCCCCACAGTGAGATACCATGTTTCAGAGAGCTGAGATTAATTCCTTAACCTTATTACCCAAACATAAGTTTAACATTTTTTAGCTTAGCCAAACAGGGATTGGAAGGTTCTACTTTGACATAGGATTTTGATTTCATCATCGTCTTTACTTTATCAAAGCCACAAGTAGGTCCATATAAAAATGAAAAAGGAAATATGAGTTAATAAAAGATAAGCAAAGATAAGACAAATGACAAATACCAAAAACAAAAAGACCAAACTCAACAATGATTCCACGTGCATCGTCTGTCAAGTTATAGGGTGGTGCATTCTGTAGGATCTGCTAAGCTGCACATACATTTTTTTTTTTTACAAAAGGTGATGGATAACAGGAATATGTCTATAAAGCTTTAGCTCTCTCCAGTTGTTTTTTTGAATTCCTATTTTCCTAAAGTTTGCCTTCTGAAATAAAAACATCTACAGTTACTCTAGGAATATATACTTAAGTATTTAAAGTTTTATAGCACAGATTAAGCAGATGACATCATAGCTGGCAAGATACTATCAGTTAAAAAGTAGAGAGCGGAGCCAGAGTAATGTATTATGTAATGTTAAATGTTTAGCTTGAGAATTAAGAAACTGGACCACAAAAATCAGAAACTTTATAGCGTTTCTTTGTCAAGAATAATTCTGCACATAAGGGGCTGGGATGCCCCTGGTTTTTATTGTGGTGTGTTGAATGTTATTTACCCTGTGCCGTGTTTAGCATCAGAAATTAAGGCAGAAGTTAAAAAAGTAAATTATGTAACAGATCTGATTTGACATCTTTACAGGGACATCAAACCATTTTAGGTATAAAAGAGATCAGCATCAGCTCGACTCAGCCAATAAACACACAAACCCTGTAGCCTTTTACCCTTTTACAATAGGCTGTCAGCAGTTCTCTATATCGTTGTAGACGTTATGCCAAAACACATCTCTAAAACAGCTTGAACATTTAATGCTCAATACTTATCAGACTTTTTGTTCACCAAAAAGTTTAAATCATTACACCTGTGCAATTTTGCTTTTACGTCATCTTCAAAGAAACAAGATTGTGAAAATGTAACATTTACTTTAGGGAGGGTTTTTAGTGGTAAATGGCAACAGTAAACCAACTAAACATCAAAATAGTAACCATGCTGCTTCTGTTGAGGTTTAAGCTGGCCTTCTTTCAGCATAATAGCTGAATTAACCCCAAATCAACTTTGAATTTCCCAAACAAATTTGAGGTTGTTCTAGATTTATTACAGATCCATATTAATGACAGATGTAAGCATAGCACATGTTATAATAAGCATCATCCAGAAGGAATTGATGAGCTTTCACTCCTTCTAAAGAACATTTGGAAAACAGTAGTGTTCTCAGATTAATCGACGGGCTGATTTATGGGCCTGATTTTAGTGTCTGGCTCATTAATAGACATCAGCCAAAACGTAGCTGATATTAACCTTTTATAGGGCAAGTTAGCGTTTTTTATCACTTTCCTTACAAATGGAGTCCCCCCCATCCCTCAGTGAGGTCTAGATGCCCAAGATCTATATCCAGCCATTCAGCAAAGATAAAAGCTAACAATTCAAGAAAAAAGGTAAAAAGCTAATTGAAAAGTTAAAAAGTAAAGTTAAAAGTTAATACGCCAAGTTAACCATTATATTTAGGTTTATAAACTAAAAAATGTAAGTGCTGGTATCAGCATTAATGCCTCTAAGGTTATTTTGGACCAAAAAATGTGTTTCTTTCACTCTGAGAGTGCTTTTTATGAATTTCTTATAACTTTTGTAATTTTTCTTAATATATTCAGGCAAGTTGGTGTTTCTTGTTATTACATTGTCATTCATTTTTGCCATCGAAATATCCATATTTTTTAGGTAACACAGGTAATAAGGTCTTGTCCTGGATTCCAATAACACTATTGGCTAGGGTTGTCACGATACAAAACTTTTCAACTCGATACCGATACTAAGGAAGATATTCGATACTCGATACCATTTTCGATACCACAAGGATAAAAACAAAGACTTCAAAATTCTACAGAAATATTTTCATTAATAAATAAAATACAATAAATAAATACAATAAACAATAAGAACGATATTTTGAGGTTGTATGCTGTGCACAATATTAAGCAAGCTTGATAAAGGTTGATTGTTATGTGTGCAAAGCACACATAACAATGACACTAGCCAAACCGGTTAAGAAGCAAAAATAATTCTCAGCAGCTGCAGGTCTTACAAAAAAAAGTCTGAAACTGAAAAGTGCACAGAATTATTCAATCACACAGTGTTCAGAAAGTGCATTGTCTTCTATTCTGCACTTTAGATGAATGACTCCTTAGGTGCCACTGGTGGTGGCACTGTATAGATACTTTTTAAAACGAGTATTGTATCCAGATACAACATTTCAGTATCAATACTTTTTTGAGTATCGATACCTTTGACAACCCTACTATTGGCTTGAAATTTTGATTTTCAAAGTGTTTCACTGAGTGCCCTATAAAGGGTTAAAATTATATTTTTGTTGCAAACAGCTGAAAGAAATTTCGGCCGCATTCAACACTTCAGCACCAGTAAGGCAAAGAACACCACAGTTTTGAGGCAATATCTAAATCAAATCCACAAAAATGGATTGTATTTATAGTCTTATTTTGACATTGCTCAAGTTAAAGTAGCTTATTTTAATTCTTTTGTTCTATTTTGAGGGCACGTCCCACCGGGAGGAGGCCCAGGACAAGCTGGAGGGACTATGTTTCTTGGCTGGCCTGGGAGCGCCTTGGGATTCTCCCGGAGGAGCTGGCCCAAGTGGCTGGGCAGAGGGATGCCTGGGCCTCCCTACTGAAGCTGCTACCCCCGCGACCCGACCCCGGATAAGCAGAAGAAGATGGATGGATGGACGGACGGATGAGTTTTATTTTCTGTTTCTTGAATCATATTTTTGGTTATTATGAGAATTTAAGCTGGACTTAAGCTGGACTAAGATGGACGGTTGGAAGTATATCCATTTTCAGTTTATTTTTTCATATTCTGTCTGATGTATATCAGATAGCAGCCATTATATATCAGATATTGTTTTTTTAAGCTCCTAATATCAATATCAGTCTTCAAAATCCCATATCGGTCGGGCTCTAGTTCTCAGTGCTATTGAGAAAGCAGAAGGCACTTGTAAAACCTACTCTTCTTTAGAAAAATTACATTTTCTATGACATCTACAGATCAGGACAGAAGATGCAGTAGATGCCTAAAGAGTTAAAAAAGTAAAGTGAAATTATTTACAAATGAATTGTGCCAAGACATGAGGCAAGGGGGAATATTTGCTCATCATGAGGAGGGTTTCTCAATGGACAAAGGTCCTCTGAGTGTAAGTTCATAAAGGAAGATTTCTGAAACCCCATCCATCCATTTTCAGGCAGACTTAATTCCAAGTGGGGTCGCAATGGTTGCTGGTGCCTATCTCCAGCTGTCTATGGGCGAGAGGCGGGGTACACCCTGGACAGGTCGCCAGTCCATCACAGGGCAACACAGAGACAAACAGGACAGACAACCATTCATGCACACACTCACACCTGAGGAGAATTTAGAGAAGCTAATTAACCTAACAGTCATGTTTCTGGACTGTGGGAGGAAGTCGGAGTACCCAGAGAGAACCCATGCATGCTCAGGGAGAACATGCAAACTCCATGCAGAAAGACCCTGGGCCGGGAATCAAAACCAGAAACTTCTTGCTGCAAGGCATTTTCAAAAATGTAAATCCTTTTATTGTCAAACAACGGGGAAATTAACTCTCTGCATTTAATCCATCCCCTTGGGGATGTGGTTGGCTGCCATTATGTGGGGCCCGTGGAGCAGTGTGGGGTTTTGCTCAGGAACCCAGAGTGGATGCCGTGGGGATTGAACCAGGTACTTGCAACCTTCACAAAGCACAAGCACACTGCTCTAAACACTAGACCAACACTACCACTGCTCATCTGTAATCCTCTGACCTTTTAATTAGCTGAGAGATATCATCTAAAAAATTTGCATAAAAATATTACTAAATTGTAGCATGTCACTTATATGTAATCAGTTAGGTAGGTAGGGGAGTAGGTAGGTACCTTTTTTACTTGTAAGAAGTGTAGTTTAGCTAATAAATGTCTGATGTTTTTTTTTTTTTCATATTTTATCAAAGACGTCCCCAATTTTCTGGCTCAGCAGAGAGAACCTCATTAGGCAGTGCATTAGCAGGTCAGCTGACCGCCCTCCAGGGCAAAGACCTGCAAACAGACTGGCATGCGTCCCATTCACCATACTCCATAAAAACAGAAGGCTATTATATTATCGTGTGGAAGTTTAGCTCACAGGATTTATCTATAGGATGCTAAGAATTCACCATTTATCAGTTTAAATATTATAACACTAGTATTTGTACAACTTGTATCAGCAGTCACAGCCGAAGCATTTCCCAAACAAAAGCAGGAGAAAGGCAATGTAACTGAACAAATACCACTGGATTCAGGGAGATTAAATGTGTGTGAGTGAGTGAACTCTCACTGGACTCACCTTCCATCCTCGGTTTCAGAAACCTGGAACCCCCCCGGTAGAGTTAGCTGAAAATCTACAGTGGGCCTTAGAATGTTCTCCTTGACATCCATGGCTGACATCCCTCCCCCATCAGGTACAGGGTTCCTGAACAAATGACGGGGAGCGGGGGCCTGTGGTGGAGATGGGGCGGGAACTTTCATTCTCCTCCTGCATGATGACAAATCAAAGATACATTAAATATTAGATAATTAGATTTTTTTACTGTTAAACCTGTTTTTTAGAAGTTGAGTATTCATTAAATTATTTGCTTTTATTTCATGTAAGGCAGTTTTGTTTCTCCTGGGTTTAGTCCTGGTTACATAACAACCCAGTCTTGTGAATGGATTCCACTGTTACCGCCTCAGGAGCAGCCTGAATACCAATGACATTTCTTTCCTCTGTATTTCTCTCTTTGGTGCAACACTGGCCTGCATTAATATTACAGCATAATAAGGGAATCATTTGTTTGGTTATCAGTGTTGTATAATCTTAAAATAGCTGCTTCTCCCACATGACACTAAAGTGACTCAACAATAAAAATCTTATAAATCTTTTCTGCAGGTTCTCCCTCCCTACCACTCCTCCAGCATATCTATGGACTTCACAGGTGACAATTAGGCTATGTTCCCAGTACAGGCCTTAATGCCTTCGGTTTAAACTGTTTGCACCTCTAAGCTGATACACATGAGAACAATAAGAATTTATTGCAGCACAACATTAAACCAGGAGATATAAGTATGCTTTAGGTGCACAGCAGAAGACATTAATTGTGTCAGCGGTTCCCTTGTGGGACCCTCCATGAATAAAAGAGTGAAATTCGTTATTGTGGCTTTTTGGGGGAGATCTGTCTGACATTCAGCACAGCAGGCTGTTTGGATGTGGGGAACCATGTAGGAATATTAAAAACTTAACAGAAACCAAAATGATTCAGAACGTTTTTCGTGTAGAGGTCCAATTTAATCACGTATGGAATTGCAGAAGAATTTTTGCAATCCAGTGCACTGGACTGCAGCAGACTCAGAGTCAGATCATCACAAGCTTGCTAACCATGATAGCATTCAAAAGCGTTCTGCTGGAGTGTGGTATAGAGATTTTACGACATGAAGTATACCCACATCCAGATGGCTCCTACGAGTCTTTCAATTATGCTTGAATAAAGTTCAGTGACGTGCGGTCAGGGGAGGCAGGTGAGGCAGTGCCTCACCAGCCATCATGGAAAGAAAGAAAATATATAATCATAAAGTAATTTAAATTGTTATATTCATCCGGTGGTTTGTACTAAAAAATATTCATTTTTCATGTAGCTTCACCAATTTCGATTTTTATTTGTTCAAAATCGCTGAATTTTCTTATTTTCCCATTCAAATGCTTGGAAGCGATGCCGGTGAGGCAGCAGCGAGCTCTGCCTCACCTTGGATTGCGCAACCCCTGGCTCTGCGCTGGCTGCAAAGCGGAGAGAGCATGTTGCTGTACGGCGTCAATAAAATGGTTTAAACAAATGTAATATGTGAACTTATTTCTAATAATTTGCCTTATGTATATAATGTACAGAGCTTTTTGTCACCAACTGTGTTTGTGTAACGTGTTTCGTGTAATGAGCGATTATAAACGGCAGAGAACAAGTTCGAGGTGAGGCAGGCAGTTCTCTTGCCTCATGGCAGGGGGTGCTCAAGAGACTGAAAACATAAGGCAGGAACAGGACGGATCAAGGAAGGCTTTCTTCCCTGGCAGTGATCTCCATTGAGACAGAGAGACTTTTAAAACTGAAGGAAGATAAGGAGGACTTCTATTCATTTATAAGTAAAGGTAAGACAGTAATAACATTTATTTTGTTTTGTTTTTTAAGGAAATGTGTGTTTTGTGAGCTACAGTTTGTATGTGTAAGGATGCAGAAGTGAAACATAACCTGTAAACTGCTGTCAATCTATGCATCTATTTGCAAATCTGATTCTGATGACGTCAGTGCCTCACCAGCTATGAACCTCACCGCACGTCACTGATAAAGTTTGTCTGTTTATTAATGAGCTCTAACGTCTGGCTGTCCATCCATTGTTTAGTACAATCCCAGCTCCTGTCTGTTGTAAACTGATGTGATTTCCTGCTGCGTAAAGTTGTGATGAATGAAATGGAAAGTGACGTCACATCTGCTCTGCCTTGGTGGCTCCCACTGGAAGGTTAAGATACAAATCAGATTCAGGACCACACATAAATGTGGTTCAAATGTGACTTGGAAAAAGTCCAATAAATTCAAGATCTGAGCTTGCTTCCCACTTGCTTTAAACAGCCTGACCCGATCACTTGAACCTAAAAAAATCTGATACGGGGGCATATCTCTTTGCTGTGGGAACAGGGCCACACTTCCTTCCGATCGTATTTAAAAAAGCCTCTTTAAAATCATTGCAGATCCCGTTTTTGGAACGAACAAAAGATTTAAAACAAAAATACATAACAGTAAATTAACCTAGTCACACATATAGCTTTAGTAGGCAGAAAGCAAGCCTGGACTGGTCACCGATATAGAGATATACAAAGGGTTGGAAAGTTTATCCTTTCACTGCTGTAATTTTCCACCATTAATTTCAATGAGGCAAAATAAAGAACATTCAGGAATCACTTTTAGCATCAAAAAACCTACTAGCCTTAAATCTTTCATATATCTGTTGAAGAAATGTCTCAATCATATCAAATATGTCAACACTGAAACTTGTACAGCTTATAACACTCAGCACATTTGAAGCAGCTTTTAGTTTCCTTTCTTCACTGTTTTAAATATGTTTCTCTGTAATAGTAGTTTTACAGATATGTGTCTTGATTGCGTAAGTCTCATTTTACTTTTAGTGTATTATTAGCCAACAGACTCTCCTACCAGCCAACACCTACTGAAGTTCAAAGATCATATGGCTTTGTTAAAATCAACTAAAAATACATTCCAGCAGCAAATAAAAAAATATCTAAGGCAAAATGTCAGACTATATGTAGCAACTATAATTATAGTTATATGAAAACATTACTATGTATAAAAAACTACCTTGTGAGACATGTTATCAACATTGAGTATTGATACCACAATCACCAACACAAAAAAACAGCAGATCAAACATAAATCAGACTCTTCTAAATGACATGGTTCTATGGTATATGAAAATAAAAAGTACCTCTTTTCCATCTGAGATAATCCTTGAGGTATAATATCCACAGACTGATATTCTGGATAAATCTGGACTGTCACAAGTCCTCAGATTTAGCACACTCCTTAAAATCTGTTTGCTTGTCTTTCATGGTCCAACCCAGGGCTGTAAAATTCAATGAAGTCTGTTGTTGTTCTGCCTTGTGCAAAGCTAATTGTATAATAGAAAAATAAGACTGCGCACGAGCATAACAGGGAGCGGACTCTAACCTGGCTAAAGTTAAAAATTAACAGGCTAACTCTGACCTATTGGACAGTGTTATTAACCCATGCAAAGCAGAGAGCGGCTGTGACATGAGAATGACAGCCTACACTTAGAGTTATGACATCATTTATTATAACCCACTTACAAGCCAAATTATAGTGTGAATCTTTTTTTAATATATTATAACATACAAAGACTTTAAATAGTCAAATACTTTAAACATATGGGTTACCCAACAGAAACATGGTATGATGTTGTTTTTATAGTTATTCTTTTTAATGTTTAGGGAACTGTAAAGGCAGTAGGATTTGAAACCTTCCCGGTGGGTCCTGATCTTTTAGGTAAACAGAACCAGGCTCTGTGGACCTGTGAGACTGGGCCTCAGCCAGACTCAGCACAGTGGGCTAGTATCCTCCGCTCCCTCTCTTCCTAGGAACATTTCACTCTCTCTCTCTCTTTTCTTGAACATAGACAAAGAGGCCTTTAGGAACAGTCTTGTCTCCCACAGAGCAGGAATCACCTTAAGCAGTGAGAAAGATGGGGAGAGCAAGCGAAAGGTAAAGAAGGAAACTGCTCTGCAGCAAGGAGGCAGTAAGTGCTGTGATATGGCAAGGACTTGGTTACAAATTAGTTTTCAGCCATTTTCATCCCTTTCTATGCCCTAACCCTGACATTAATCCTAAACCTAACCATTACAAGTGCATACCCTTACACTAACCTTAATCTAACTTAACCTAAAATAGATACAGGGACCAGCAAAAATATCCTCTTTGGTATAAATGTCCTTAATCAGAAGGTGAAATATGAAAGACAGGAGCACACACATACACAGTGAGTTGTGTTTTGCTATCCTTATGGGGAGTTAAGGCTGATTTAAGCTCAGAAACCAGGTCGTCTGCGTGTGTGTCGCAGTCAAATGTGCCCCCGCCCTTTCTGCAGACACTCTGGTGCACCTCTCCAAAAATGTAGTTGAACGCAGACAGTGCAGCAGACAGGAGGCATCTGATTGGTTGAATCTACATCTGTTGTACCCTATGCGTATTTCCTGTTTGGTACCTTACTGGCTTGTTTTGTTTGTATGCCCGCCATTGTGGAAACCGACTCATGAAGTTGGACCAGCTCAAAGAGCAAGGTGCGCGAAAGCGCTGGGACCCTTTTTTCACCTGGATCCCCGCACCTGTCTCTTTCTGTAAGTCCCCTCAATGTATTATATTCCTTGGAAATTATCCCTACACTGTCCCAAAGTATGTTCACACAGGCTGCTAATGGACCTTTCAAAACCAAGATGTTCTTTTTACCTGACTAAACAGCATTGATAAGATACATTTCTACCTCAAGTTCATAAATAAAACACCTTTATTCTAACAAGATTCTGTTTGTTAGGATTTAAGAAGATTTGGTTTTCGTATACTGGATTAATTTTCACCTGTTTAAACATTCATTTATTATAGACACAGACACAGGCACACCTTAGGGTACTTTGAACTTGATATTGACCAATATTTTTTACTCCAATGCAAATTATTTTGACATTAGTCTATAGATATGTGCTTCCCATTTTCTGGGGACAATCTTTAAGCCAATATTAACCCCTCTTCCCCCATTTATATGATAAACATCACAGACTGACATTGATTACTTGTTCACCTTGTGATGCCTGTGCCTCTGATTACTGTCTTTGTGGTAAAACTTGATATAAAGTATATCCACAATATAGTGTGGATTAAGGCAATGTTAAAAAAAAAAATCCTCAAAACTTCAAAAATAAGTTTTTAGCGACAGAGGGTAGGCAACTCAAACGATGATGTTGAGCCCAGAATGTAAGGTATGCACGTTTTAACTGTGAGGGACAATTTACGAGGGGCTAAATATAACAAACCTTATCAGCTGCTACAAAATGGCGGGTTAGGAACACATATAAAAGTCCCTCATTAGTCGGTGTATATTTTTTGTCATTTTCCTTTAAGAAACTGATAACTATTTGATTTCTTTGTTTTGAAATAGGAAAATGTAAATACAGAAACCACAAGAGGAACACGATGTTATGCAAGAAAAGATTTTCAAATCGTGTGTCTCAGGAGATATGACTTAGTCCCAAAACTGTCAGGTTGCTGGTTTAAACCCCTGCTTTAACCAATCTAAGGTTGGGTGTTTTGGGCCAGACATATTCCTACTTTGCCTTCTTTTGGTGGTCAGATGGCGCTGTGGTACGGACTTCATGGTGGCCTTGCTTCTGTCAATGTTCTACAGGGCTGCTGTGGCTCCATTGTAGCGTGCCCTATATCAGCATGTAAATCTGTCAAGTAGGTAAAGCACTGTCCATTTTATCCCTTTTTATTATAAAATCTCTACACATTTCTTGCTACTTCACCTACTTGATTTCTGTGGATGTCAAAAAGCACAGCTAAGTAAGGTTCAAAAGAAAATGTATTCTAAGCAAAAGCCTTATGTTACCCTGCCAAATTGTGTGCTCTTTTAAAATAAATGACCAAATCAGGTGTAAGAAAAAGGTGTTAAAAATAGTTTTAAAGCAATTTCATATTTTAAATTGCTTTTAAACAGGAACAAAAAAGGACCTGTTTTAAAGCCATTTAATATTTTGTTACCGGAAAGGAAAATAAACTAAAATTTTACTCATTCATTTACGATACAAATACAGCAATGTTTTGTATCTTAAATTCAATTTTTGTATTTTAAAATACTGACCCTGAAATTCACAGAAAAACACAGATACAGTAGATGTTGAACTGAAGCACTAGCATCTCAGAGCAAAACCTTTCCAAGATAAATTACTTGTCAGATCGTTATAAATTACTGTTCTTTTGAATATGCATTCCTTAAAATAGAGAAATTAAATGTAAATAAGACTTGGCTTACTTGGCCATTTTGAGTGATAGTTTAGAGAGGGGCTGACTGTTTCTCAATTCAACTATAACTGTAAATTTCCAGATAAAACAGGACAGACATTAGACTTAGACTTAGACTTAGACTTAGACTTCTTTATTTGTCATTTTGTATGCACAGGGTGCATACAGAACGAAATTGCGTTACATACAGCTTATGAACGTTGCATTGATATTTCACAATGGCACGAGTTATAGAAAAATACAAAAAGTGCAGCAGTGGTCAAAGTGTGAACAGTGCAGAGGATAAGAGACAGTGTGCAAGTTGCAGTGGTTCAGTGCAAAATGGCATTTGTGCAAAAAATGCGTTATTGAAAAATACAATGAGATGAACAATTTAAAGGGCTAAAAGTTAAAAGTTCAGCAGCATTTGATGCCCGATAATGTGCAATAGGTGCACATTGATAAATAAAAGATGTTTCTTGCAATTTACTTTTAAAAATATTTGAATAATGTGTACAAATTTGGTAATGATGCTTGAGTACAACAATTAAAAAATTAAAAAACAATTTACTTTGCTTTTAGAGAAACTTCTCACTGTATTTAAGCACTTTTCCTGACTCTTTTTCTTTCTCTGCTTCAGTCTCCAGACCTTTTTGCAGCCCACCACTTCCCAAACATTTGGTCCAGGTTAACTTTGTAAATATAAAACTATGTAATTTAAATATTATTAAAAAGTCATAAAAATTTTGTTATTCACATGCTAAAAGTGACACTGATTTTCTCTCAGGTAACCTTGCATAAAAGGATGTGGACAACAATGGCAAAACAATATCAACAAAACCCCAAACTCTACAAAATATAATTATATTACTTAGTTAGTAATCTGTTATTTTGACTGGATTTGATTAAATTATTAATCATTTTGTTGATCCAACAGTCAAAAACCTGGTTTTAAGAATTTTTATCTCCTGGTTGAAAGGTATGCACACCAGTATAGGTGCTAAAAAAACCTTGAAATGTAATAATACAGCATCTTTGGCAAAGGTTATAAAAATATGCAGAATACACTAGATAAGTATTACAAGGATTCATAGGTTTATCACAGCTATAAAGATTGTTTTCTTAGCCTTGGACTCTCAGCTCCACCCATAGTTAAAAAGAGAGGACAGGAAAAAAAATCAAGTGAACACATGCTCTAAATTTTGCAAAGTTATTTTGCCTTACCTTCCATCATTTCGATCTTATAGTTTTTGTCCTGCCAGTCCACTTGGTACCTTAATAAGTTGTGTTATCCCTTTTTAATTGACTAAAATCACTATTAAAGGATGGGGAGCATTACCATCTTCTTGTAAAGCAAACTGGCCCCAACACAGTAAAGGCAATCAGACAATCAGAACATGACACATTAAAACTACTTACAATCAGCAGGATGAGTTACAACATGTGCTGATAACCACATAATAACCTGCATGATTTAAAACTCATTAAGCACAACTTTGTTGCTGACATCCTCTGTGGATACAGTCAGGTTTTGGCTAAATGATTAACTGCAGTAATCATCACTTTATCTTCGATAATCAACTGATTCTCAAACAGACAGGTGAGAAATTTAACTACTAAAACAATACAATAATCTCTGTAATCAGAGTAAAATGACAAATAGCTTTGATGGGCTGACTACCTGTTGTAAGGTTTATTGTTTTATTACAAAAATGGTGGTTGTGATTTGGAATCTCAGTACCACCTCTCCTTGAACGGGACAATTAATACAAAACCCAGAGATGAACCTTAGTAAAGGGTTCTGTAGGAAAACTGTACTGAATGATGAGAACATTGGTGGTTTTTGTTTTACTACCACATTAACTCTGATAAGTAAGACATCAACTTGAAATCAAGAAAAGCTTTTCACAGCACATTTTACTAAATATATATAAGTAGTTTTTTTTTTTTTTTTTTTAAGTACATAACCAAAACAGCTAATGTTCTTTTGTGTGTATTGGGGTCAATGGTTTTACAAGAGGAGTAAAGACAAGTAGCGACCTACAGTCAAGGTTACCACTAGTTCCCAATAAGGCCCCATTAAGACAAAGCTGGGTTTGAGTGTATACCACCACCAAGGT